CCAAAAAAAAAAAAAAAAAAAAAAAGAAAGAAAGAAATATATTTATACTTTATTTATGTTTTTACTTCGCCAGGGAAAAGAGCTTTCTTTATTAAATATAATTAAAAGAGTCTTCTCCAATCTGTAAAAAATGTAATTATTTGCATAGGGATAATCTTTATGTTATTTAATGTGTATTATTCTCATCAATTACAAAGTTCACACTAACTTTATGCAATTTTTATTCATGAATAATGAGAGATAGATTTTCTGTTATTCTAATTCTTTTTTAAGAATGATTTTATTAAAAAAAAAAAGAATGATTTTATTTAACTTTATTTATTTATTTAAAGTTGACCTGAGAGGGACAGAGTGAGAGAGAGAAAGTGAGAAAGCAAGCTGCTCAGTCTGGGACTCAAACTGCAGTCTGGAATATGGGAGTCCAGTGCGCTTACCCACCATGCAACCTGTCGGCCCCCTGCTATTCTAATTTTGAGCTATATGAACAATGCATAATGTATGCCAACTTTTAGTGCTTTAAATGGTAGTCAAACTTTTCTTAAATTTTTTTGCTATTTAACTGGAGGTTGAAAACATAATGGTGAATTTCATTAAAAAAAGATATAAACAAAGTCTATCACTAGATACCTTATTAAACTAACTTAAAATTTTTGTCTTTAGTGTAATATGTATGTGGCATAATAAGCCTTTTCTAACATATCATTCAAGCAGTTACATGATGTGGGTCATGATAATTAACAAATATTTTCTGTTTTGACTTAATTTTTACTATAATGGTTTTAACAATTGTTTCTGTTTTTTTAAAGGATTTGGAAAACAGCGTGGGTGAACTTAGCGAAGGACAAAGGCCCAGGCTGAAGGCGGCAGCAGAGAACATCTTAGTGGGATGTTCTCTCTCTACGCAGCAGCGAATGGTCACTGCCGAGTCTTTGGCTCAACATTGTGATCCTAATCTGTCACCTCCGCACGTTGACACAGTTTCAGGTATACACCAAAATACTGTTTCTGGTGTGTCTTTGGATTATTCGTTTTATATCCCATCATACTTCCTTTGTGCTATTTCCGTGTTGAATGCTGTATTCTGTTCTGTGTTACACTCTATAGTAGTGTTCCTCATCTCCTCATCTGAATTGAGTGACTATTTTCAGATGGAGATGTACTCTAGGACACGTGTGCTCGCCGGGAAGTGAGAAATCACCCCCTGGGGGAATGGCCATGCTGTAATCCCTTCTCTATGCTCCTCTCGGGATTTTTGGGCACACATGCATATGTGCCTGGCGGTCAATCACGTGGGAGTCCAGCGATGTAATCATTAGGCTATCTGGTCCCCAGAATTACTGTATAAAAGGGAATCTTAATAATTTGAAAAATGTGGTGATAACTTTCTCTTTGGTACATACAGCTGTGTTTCCCAAGTGTAATTCATATATCGGTGTTGGTAAATTAACCACTGGATGGAGCATGATATGCACACATATGTACACTCAAATTTTTAATAGTGATGCATTTATTTTAATGTAATCTAGAAAACTATAACTAACCCATCAAAACTGAGACATAGCAGATTTTTTTTTGTTTAGGACTAAGTTAAATGAGATGATACTATAGATAGATTTATCAGGATGTAACCTCCTTGTAAGTCAAGGAATATCTGTACTGCGAAAAGTTCAATTGCATACAGTGTAAGAGCTGAAATAGAAGACAGAGTATCTCCTGTGCAGTCTTAACTAGGAAAATACACATCAGGTAATTCAAGTTTTTCACTGTTCTGCACATATCCATGACTATCACCAAAGTGCTGTGGGTATTGATTTTGAGGTTACAAATAAATTTTAACAAGTAGGTAAATCTGCAGATGTAGATGTGCAGAAATGAACATTGACTGCATTCTCAGTACTAATTTTTTCCATGTCGCTGCTTTTTCGTCAGTGCAAAGAAAATTCTGTAGGTATTCAGATTTGTCAGAAATCAGAGAGAGACATGTCTGACATTAGCAAAACTAGCATAAAAGCATTTAATGTGTTAGTTTTATATTTACTATGAGAATGTTGTAAATTATTCAGAATTGAGAGAAATTCAAGACTGAATTTTCCATGAGAATAAATGTAAACATTGGCATTATTTCTCATTTTTTTGTGCACAGTGAGAGTATTAAATGTTTTCCATTATTTCATGTTTGTAGGACTCAAATGATATAGAATGTGACTTAAATTTACATCAAGCTAATGTGCAGATTGCGGTTGAACAGAATTGACACTAGGTGGCACTCACAGATCATTTGAGAAGTACTAATGCTGCTTGAGCGTAACTGGTGCTAGTTAAATTGTTGTAGACTGAAATCCATGAAGATATAGCTATCCAGTCTTATTTCTAGTAGCATCTAGCAAGTAACTTAGGATACAGTGAATTTTTAATAGTAACTACTTTGTAGGTATTTGTTTAATTAGAAAAAATAAGAAGCAGAATAACTAGGAGTTGGGGCTTCTAGAGTTTCAGAAATGTGTTTGAATTCCAGTTCTGTGTATCTTCTGTCAAGTAACTTGTCCCTGAGCCCAAATTTCTTCATCCATCATGTGGGTATAATATTTGTTATTGGTTATCTATTGCTATTTAAACATCACCCAAAATTTAGAAGTTGAAGGCAACAAAGATTTATTATCTTGTACAACTCTGAAAGTCAGGAATCAACAATTTTTCCATGTTGCTGCATTTTCTTCATTGAAAAGAAAATTCTGTAGGTATTCAGATTTGTCAGAAACCTGAAAGAGACGTGCCCGATAGTAGCAAAACTAGCATAAAAGCATTTAGTGTGTTAGTTTTATATTTAATATGAGAATGTTGTATATTATTCAGAATTGAGAGAAATTTCATAAGAATCAATGTAAATATTGGCATTATTTCTTATTTATTGTTTGTTTGTTTGTTTTTTCATGTAACTCCCAAGGTCATGAATCCTGCGTGGCTTAGCTGTGTGGTTCTCAGGATCTTTCCTGAGATTGCAGTCAAGCTGTGGACTGGGACTGAGGTCATCTGAATGCTCCTAGGTTGGAGGGTCCACTTAACAAGCTCTCTCATGTCGTTATTGGCAAGAGGCCTTACTTCTCATCACATGCACCTCTCCACGGGGCTGCTCATGACATGGTAGCTGGCTTCTCCCACAGTCGTTGGTCCAAGAGAAAGGGAGTAGCCAAAATAGAAACCCTAATGTCTCTTACAGCCTAATCTCAAAGTGGCCTGCCATCACTTCTGCTGTATTCTGCTGTTAACAGACCAATCCTGGAACAGTGTAAGAAGGAACTGTGAAAAGGGGTAAATACCAGGAGACAGGGAGCGTTAGAGGCTATCTTGGAGCTAACAGAATCTACCTCGTAACATTACTAGGGACAGTAAATGACTGTGCATGTAAAGGAGTCAGCACAGGGCTTGGCCCTTTGTAATTGCAGTTCATTTTAATAATGCTCAGAGTATGTAAAAGAACTGTCTCACGTGTATTTAAGAGATCCAGAAATTCCTTGGCTGACTAAAAAGACTATGCTTGTAGAGAACTAATTTATTCCTCTTGCTTCCAGATTTTCTGCTGTGGCTAATAGTATGTAGTTAAAATAACATTGCTTCGAGAGTCTCATCTGTTCTTATTTTGCCCCTCCCCACCACTGCTTATTTTCAGGAAGTGTCCCATTTGCAACCTATACCCCCCTTCCATTCCTGAGGCTCTCAGGTTGGGTCGAGTAACAAAAAGATGTAGAATTCGCTTTGAGGACTTACCTTGTAACACTAAAATATAAGCTGACAATTTGAACAAAATGTGAGGACTCTGGGACATACTGCCAATTACAGCTCTTGATCTATTTCAGAAAACCTGTATTGAATACCTAGAACTGTATTAGTATTACATTAGGGCTAGAGGTGACAGGCATCTGCACTCAGGGTTTATTACAAAGATAACAAGTGTAATATCGTGAGATTAGTACAACAGCACAGCCCACACGTGACGACTCAGGAAAGGTTTCCAACAAGGGCCAATATGACTTGAATTGTAAAGGAGCTAGCCAGGTGGTGAATTATGAGAATATTCCACTCATTCAGAAGACAGTTTTTGAGTGCCTGCTATGCTCTGAGCATGTTCTAAGTGCTCTGAGCATGTACTAACATGAGCTTTTAAGACTCTGTCCACTTATTTTTTCTCTAGCAGAGGTGGTAGCTGAGAAGGTAAAAATGTGTGGTCAATTATTGTAGTTATTGCGAAGAAGTCTGTGTAGGCGGGGGGTACAGTTCAATTATAGCGGGAGAGGGCATTCAGCAAAGACTTCGTAGGTGAGGGGAGTCTCGCCTGAAGTGCCTCCTCAAAGATAAAAAGATGTTTGCCATGTGGTAAGTGAGGAGGGGTCTTCCACACACCATATGCAATGAGATGGGACAAAGTTAGAAAAATGGCAAGGAGTAATCAGAGAAATATAAGTTCTTTGTCGATGAATCAGAGTTTACAATACATTGATATTACAGCAGTGATCAGAAGCCAGGTTCCGGAGAACCCTCAAAGATATATCAGGTAGAGTTTAGATTTCCTCTAAGACGCTAAGGTTGGCCTGAAGCTTGTGGTCCTCCTGCCTTAGCCTCCCTGAGTTGCTGGGGTTACAAGCGCACCCCACTGCACCTAACCTTTAGGTTGCACCTGGAAACTGAACCTGGGCCTCCCAGGTGGTCCCAGACTGCACTTAACAACATCTCAGCAGTTCACGCCACTACAGCTGGGCTCGGTGTTTCTGTCTTGTCTACTTGATGTTTTCATGGCTTGGTTAGGTTTTGCCTATTGAAACCTTATACCTGAAGTTCCCTAGATTTTCTTGCAAGATTTTAATCTAGTATATATTTATATGTAAATTTGTCTGGAACTTGTTTTGTAGATGATGTAATGCAGACATTCAATTTTATTTTCTTCCAAATAAATAGCTAACTGTGCTAGCGTCAATTATGTAAGCTTTTTTCCTACTTAATTGAAATATCAACCATTTATATATTAAATTTTCATAGATGTAGGGATATTTTTCTGGATTCTTTATTCTTTTTCTTTCTCTCTTTCTTTCTTTTTTTTATTTTTATTTTTTTGAGAGGTTTTGCTATAGGGTGCGTGCACTCTCCAGAAAGACAGAGACAGAGAGACAGAAAGCGAGAAATCACCCCCATGGGGCTTGCCATGCTACAATCCCCTCTCCTCCATTCCCCTCTTGGGATCTTGGGCACGCACACACACACACACCTGGCATGAGTTTAAGCCACTGAGTCTGGTGACATAGCCATTACACTAACTGCTGGTCCCCTGGATTCTTTATTATAAGTATTTGGAATTCTTTATGATCTAAACATTTACTGTTGTGCTTTTAGGACATGTTTTGTTATCTGTTGAGGAAAGTCCCTCTCTCTCTCCTTTATTTTTTCCCCGTTTTCTTTTTTTCTTTTTAGAGAGATTTTTGCTATAGAGTACATGTGCTCGCCAGAGAGACAGGAAGTGAAAAATCACCTGCCAGGGAGGATGGTCATACCGCAATCCTTTCTACTCTATTCTCTCAGGCACACACACACACACACGTGCTCAGTGTGAGTTTGAAGCTGCCAAGTCTGGGACTTGAACTGCAGTCAACTACATGGGAGTCCAGCGACATAAGCATTACACCATCTTCTGGTCCCTTTTTCCCCTTTTTCATACTTGGTAATTCTCAGGCACTTACTCTTCTATATAAACTCAAAATTATTTTATCCAATTAGAGATTTCCCTTATTGAGCTAGAAGGTAATATGGAGGTTAGAAGTGGCTGGATCCCAAGTGGCCAACTAAATGGTTCAAGTCCTGGGACTTGAAAATCATGCTGGATTGGGACCAGCGGTTAGCATAATGGCTATGTCATTGGATTCCCGTGTAGTTGACTACAGTTTCAGTCCCGGACCCGGTGGCTTAAACTCACTCCAGGTGCATGTGTGTGCATGCCCAAGATTCCAAGAGGTGAATGGAGGAGAAGGAATTGCGGCATGGCCATCCACCCTGGGGCGTGATTTCTCACTTTCTGTCTCTGTCTTTCTAGTGAGCGCACACGCCCTATAGCAAAATAAATAAATAAATAAATAAATAAATAAATAAATAAATAAATAAATAAAATGTATTTAAAAAAAGGAAAGAAAATCATGCTGGACTTACGTGTGTGCATGCCTAAAATCGCAAGAAGAGAATGGAAGGGGATGGATTACATCATAGCCTTCTCCCTGGAGGGTAATCTCTTGTTTTCCCTCTCTCTCTTTGTCTCTCTCTCTCTCTCTCTGATGAGTTTACATGTCCTGTAGCAAAAACTAAAAAAAAAAAAAAGAAAAAAAAAATTACCCTAGTTGAACTTTTGGTTAGGTTGATTTATATATTAGAAAAATTGACATTTTTGTGGTTAGTCTTACTACTTTTTTAGATATCGTTATATGCCCTTCAATGAGATTTTATAATTTTCTTCATATGAATTCTATACCTTCCTTAGTAATTTTATTCTTTTTTAAAGAATTATTTTATTTAATATTACTTATTTTAATTTGATTAGAGAGGCACAGAGAAAGAGAGAAAGAGCAGGAAAGTGAGAAAACAAGTGACCAGGTCCAGAACTTGAACCACGGTTGGCTATGTGGGAGTCCAATACCCTTAACCACTACTCCACCTGTCGGCCCCAAGTAATTTTATTCTTAATTATTCTTTTCTTATTATTTTATTTTATTTTAGAGAGAGATTTTTGCTGTAGGGCGTATGCACTCGCTGGAGAGACAGAAAGCGAGAAATCACCCCCTTGGGGGGATGGCCACACTACAGTCCCTCTTCCATTCTCCTCTTTGGATCTTGGGCATGCACACACACGTGCCCAGCATGAGTTTGAAGCTGTCAGGTCTGAGACTCGAACTTTGGTCAACTACGTGGGAGTCCAGTGATGTAACCACTACACCACTGCTTTCCTATTCTTAATTATTTTATATTTCAGATCACTATAATAAAGATTTTTTTCACCACTTCTGTGTGCTTATTTCTATGACATACAGAAAAAACTGATCATTTTTATATATTTATCTGGTATCCAGTTATATTATTAAAATTTCTTACTTCTTTTTTAAAAGCCTATTTTATTTACTTTATTATTATTATTTACTTATTTATTTTATTTGATCAAAGAGAGACAGAGAGAGAGAAAGACAGAGAGAAGGATAGTGAGAAAGCAAGTTACGGTCCAGGATTTGACTGCAGTTGGCCATGTGGGAGTCCAGTGCCCCTGAGAACCACATTACTTGCTGGCTTCAGATTTTCTTCTTAATTCTAATTCTAATAGGATCCTTGTTCTTTACGAGAATCTCTTAGATTTTCTAGGTGTATACCATATCCTCAGCAAAAAGTGTTTTTAATATTTTTCAATATTACATGTGCTAATTATTTTCATTGTGCTAATTATTTTCATTAATTTTTCCAAGCACTTTTAGGAAAATGTGGGGTAAATGCCATGGAAATAGAAAAAGTATATCAGAATATAAAGCCAAAAATGTAAGGACTACAGCATTAGTTACTCTAAATTATGAATACTGTAACTATTATTTGAATTAATCTTATCCTAACTAATTACATGAAAATTAACCAGGTAACAGTTATAACAAATTGTTTTGTACAGATTGATTACTATAAGGGTAAAACTTTAAACCCAGAAGTTTTGCATAAAACAAGCCTTAAAAACCTGGATTAACATGAAAGATCAGTTTTGTAATCAGGATTGTAATTATTTGCTATACCTAGGAAATTGTCAATAGATTGCCTTTAAATGGAAAGTAAATGTCTTTATTATTTCAATTAAAACAATTTAGTTTATATGTAAGTCTTTGGGTCTCTATTTATTAAAATGAGACCCACATCCTATAATATGCTATATTTGAAATGTGGCCATGGATTGGGGGAAAAACAGTATTTTGCACTTACTAGACAGACAGAGGGAGAGAGTGAGTGAGATGTCACTCCCCAGGGGGGATGGCTATGCTTCAGTCCCTTCTCCATTCTCTTCTCAGGATTTTAGGCACACACACATGCACAGCATGATTTTCAAACTGTCAAATCCAGGACTCCAACCATGAAATCGATCATGTGAGATCCGGTGCCTTAGCCAGTATGCCAGCTGATCCCCAAAAAACAGTATTTTCTTTTTTGTTGTTGTTTATTTTTTATTATTAATTTGACCAGAGAGAGAGAGAAAGGGAAAGTGAGAAAGCAAGCTACCAGGTCCAGTACTCGAACCGTGGTTGGCAATGTGGGAGTCCAGTACCTTAACCACCCCACCACCTGACAGCCCTCAAAAAGCAGTTTATTTTCTTAAAAATATTTTAATATGAAATATAGAACAGTGACTAGGAGTTGGAAGATACAGATTTTAATTCCTGTTCCTTTTACTAACTCTAATTTTTGTACAGTTAACATCACTGAACCTTAGTTTTGTCAGTGAAAGGTTATAGTACTGTCTGACCTGCTTACATTATAGAATGATTGGAAGTTCAAATTAAATAAAGTAAAATATGAGAAAGTGGTTGGAGTATAAACTGCAGTACAAATGTACAGGGATGTTGTTATTAGATACATAGCTATCTCTTCTCTTATTGTCTTCTTTTTATTGACTTGATTAAGATGCCATTTAGATGGAAAAAAAAGAGGAGATTGATCATTGGAAGAAAAATGTCTGCAGAACAGAGCTAAACAGTACTGACATTTTCTAGCCAGGAAATTGTCCTTGCTTTAAGATCACACTAAGATAGAAAGTAGTCTATTGACTCTTAGTGATTAAACAAAGAGGTGTTATGAGTTAGTATGCGAGACTGTGAGGGCATCTTGTCTGTTGGAACCTTACAATATTACAGAGTTTTATTTTAACCTGCGTACTTGTGCATTTTCTATAAGCTTTGGTTTTAATTGCAGTGAAGATGTACACCAGGTATTTTTGGTTGAAGTTTACTGTTACTCCTAATTTAGTAGATGAAATATATTGGTAGCTTTAGTTAATTATTTGTTCTTTTTTTCCCCCACATATTTCATTATAGGTGGTATTTATGAAGATTCATGTGCTAGTCATGGTCCAATGAGTTTAGGAGAATTGGAGTTGCTTTCAAATTCTAACCTTGGTTTTCCTTCAACACTTGGGACATCAGAAGAAAATGATGTTAATTTACCAGTAACAGCTGGAGCTATTTCTCAGGTACCAAATTAATAGCACTTATACTTAAC